ACAAGAAAGAAGAGAAGCAGAAAAGGACTACAAATCCCAGCTAATTTTAGCTACCTGAGGCTAGCAGCCACTCAGGCTGGTGGGTGTGTCAGATCATCGGTAGTAAATACTGTTTATGATCAGCAGCAAATCAATAATCAGTTTTATCATCATTGCTCCTCTTTATTAGAACTGAATCGCTGATTGGTTACAGATTAATCAAAACCTGGACCAGAACCAGAACCCCCAGACAAGCAGCTGAACCACACTGGTGGCTCTCCACATGAGTGGAGGTTCTGTATGATCCGGTTGTGTTCCTGGAGGTTCTGATCTGGAGGTTCTGCTGAGTCTAATAAACTTCTGGACCAGACTCTCTTGGTTTTGTTCAGCAGAACCCAGGATGTTCTCCTCTTCAGAATGAAGCTTGCTCATCCGAGGCGTCCACCAACATGCCTGGTTTAAAACATCTTCAGTTGTTTTTACTCCAGAGACTGAGCCCCGTACTTTGACTAGGACATCAGGGAGAGGTCTGTGGGGATTGTGTGCTATGTGGTTCTATGTCCGGAATGAGAAGAACTGAGGCGGGCCACCTTTATCCCCTCCTGTCACCGATTCTGAATGTTAGATGATGAATCTGTATTGGTTATTGATTGATCAGGTTTGGTTGAGTCGGTGGTGGCAGCTGCCTGTTCAAGGGTCGGACAGCGAGTTCTCCACCTGGACAGGTGAGCTCCCGTCTGCTTTTGGTCAATGTCTACTTAATGATCAATCAGGTCATTGATCATCACCAATAATATCACCTGGGAGGGCTTTTTTGTGAAGGGCTTCTGTTTGTGTCTTCAGGAGGAGCTACTATGCCGCTAACTGGGCTAGCTTCACGTTCAACGGCCTGCTCACCTGGATCCAGGAGCAGAACGTGAGATTATTGGTTATTGATCATTTGATCAGTGATTATTGATCTCCAGCTGATTGATCTGTGTGTCTTGGAAGGAGGAGCCAAAGCCAGAGGAGGTCAGGGATTGGTCAGGTATAAGGGAGGAAGGGGAGGAGCTAATTCACCTGTCACAGGCAGACTCCACCTCCATCACCAACCTGCAGGTGTTCAGCTACGCCAGGTAGGCTCCGCCTCCTGCCCCTAACTGTAGGCTGGGACGACTTGTGAGCTGTTGATGTCTCCACAGTGAGGAAGAGGAGGAGGAGGAGGAGGAGGAAGCTGCAAACTCCACAGAAGAAGAGAGAGTAGCTGATGAAGAAGCGGTTAAAGAATCATCAGAGACAGAATCTGCAGGTGGGACCTCATCGATACTCATTATCTGTTATTGATCGGCGTCTGGATTAACGACTCACATGTACAGATTCAAAGGAGGAAGAGGAGGAAGAGGAGGGAGCAGGGGAGGAAGAGGAGCAGGTGAGGAAGAGTCAGCGCATTAAGCAGGTCTGATCTTGTGACACTAACTGTTACCAACCAATTACAGCCCATTCAGGCAAAAGGGAAGGAGCCAGAGGCTGACCAGCCCGGCCCCTCTTCTCCTGGCCAATCAGAGCCTAGCAGGAAGAAGATCAGTTACGCCCAGCTGGTGAAGGAAGGCCGGAGGTTCAACATCGACCTGGTCTCCAAGGTAAACGCAGCTGTGATGTCATCATCTGGACAGCAGCAGTAGCAGCTGATGATGTGACACACTAAGCCCCTCCCCCTCCTCCTCAGCTCTTGTTTTCTCGTGGCTCATTGGTCGATCTGCTCATCAAGTCCAACGTCAGCCGCTACGCCGAGTTCAAGAACATCACCAGGATCCTCACCTATCGCCACGGCAACATAGAGCAGGTTGGTTTTTGATCTGCCACCTACCTGCCGGGCTGTCTACTGACCTATGACCTCTGACCCCTGCCAGGTGCCGTGCAGCCGAGCGGATGTGTTTGCAAGTCGCCAGCTGTCGGTAGTGGAAAAGAGGAAGTTGATGCGCTTCTTGACTTCCTGCGTAGAAGAGACGGAGGAGCAGACAGGTGACTACCACCTGTCCTCCTGATGATATCAACTGTTCAGCCTGAGGCATTGTGGGTAATGCAATCTTCTGCCTTCAGCATACCACGGTCGGCCATATTTGGAGTTCCTGCAGGACCAGCAGCTGGGGGACAACCTGCAGCACTTCCTGCTTCACTCCATCGCCATGGTAGCTGAAGACACACCCACAGAGGAAGGTCTTGCCTCGACACGTCACTTCCTGCGCAGCCTGGGTCGCTACGGCAACACTCCCTTCCTGTTTCCTGTGTACGGCCTTGGAGAGATCCCCCAGTGCTTCTGCAGGTGAGGACCAGTTGTTCCCATGGCGATGCCGCCACAGGCAGGAGGGAGGGTGGTTCTGCTCCGACCCGGTACTGCTCAGCACACATTAGTGCTGGTTCTGCTTGATTTTAAAGTTCTGGTCCGACCCGGACAGTTCTGCTGAGAGGTTCTGGTCCCATTGGGTCGGGTTTGATCAGCTGGTACTGCCTCCAACCGCATGCTGGACAGTGTTTGTTTGCAGGTGTAACATAAATCATCAGTGGGATGTTACAGTAGAAAAGGGGCGTGGCTAGACAGACTGATTGGACGCCATTAGAATCTAATAGAATGGTGGTTCTGACGGTTTGACCCGATGTTGTTGCAGGATGAGCGCCGTGTTCGGAGGAATCTACTGCCTCAGACATTCTGTCCACTGTCTCATCGTGGACCGGGATGCCCACAGGTAACCATGGTAACCGCACCAACCAGAGCCATGGGGCGGTTTGGACCAGTAAAGGTCTGTTTGGGTCAGAACCAGCGTGTTTGGCAGTGTTCGGTCCTGCTCCGGCCTACTCTGACCCGGTTCTCAAAAGAGCGGACCTGGTTTGACCTTTGACCCGACTCACCTGGAACCCCAGGTCCATTCAGAACCACTCTGAAGTCAAACGCCAACCCAGTTCTGCTCCTTGAGGGTGGAGAGGGGGAAAGGTCAAAGGGCACCACCACCTCCAAATGGACCACGGCTCTGGTTCTGATCTAACTGGTGCTTTGTGACATCCCTTTCTGTTGCAGTTGCAAGGCGGTGATCGACAGCCGAGGACAGCGAATAAGCTGCAGCCACGTTGTCATGGAGGCCAGTTACCTGGACAGGAGCAGGATGGCCACGCCCCCCAGGTGAGTTCATTGAGACCGTAGAGCAACCTGGCGGTGGTGGTGATGATGTCAATGATGACGTTGATGCTGTTGTGTCTCCAGGTTCCTGAGCCGAGCCGTCCTCATCACCGACTCCTCAGTCCTTCCCTCAGAGTCGAACCAGCAGGTAACCCCCCATCAGCAGGTAACTCCGCCCCACACACAGCAGTGGACGGGGCGGAGCAAACAGGAAGTAGGAGCTTAGCCATCTCACCTGTGTGTGTGCAGATCTCCATGGTAACGGTTCCCCCTGAAGGAGGAAGTCCTGCAGTGAAGATCGTGGAGCTCAGCCCGTCCTCCATGACCTGCATCCCTGGAACCTGTGAGTGGGCGTGGCTTCATCAGGCTGCCATAGAGATGGCCACAGGCTCTAATTGGTTTCCTGTTTCAGACCTGGTCCACCTCACCTGTCGGTCGGTCGGATCCGCCCACCAGGACCTGTCGCCGTTGGTAACCAGGATGTTCAGAACCACAGAGACTCGGGAGGAAGGTGAGAAGCAGAACTAACTCGGTTCCGACCAATTAGAGCAGAGGAGGAGCAAACACAGTTCCCTCCTCTTCCTCTGTGGTGTAATGGCCATGTTTGTAGTAATGAGGAAGGCCTCTGGCCCAACCTACGTATGCACGGCCTTCCCTGGCCCTATCCCCTGATGTTGACCTTCTGTCCTCAGACCAGCGTCCCTCTGTCCTCTGGAGTCTGTACTTCAACATGGTGGACGGCATGGAGTCGTCGGTCGAAGGTCTGCCGCTGCCTTCTAATGTCCACATTTGCCACGGTCCAGACAGTGCTCTGGGACATGAAGACGCTGTCCAACAGGTGAGACACATAGGGTCACCTGGTCCTTACAGGTGGTACTGCGTTCAGGGTCATCATGGCCAACCAGCTCTTCTTCTTTTGCTGTTTTCAGGCGGCGTCCATTTTCCAGAGGATCCTCCCTGAGGAGGAGTTCTGTCCTCCAGCACCCAACCCAGAGGACATTGTCTATGACGGAGACAACATGTCCACTGGAGAGGACAGGGGAGACATGGGCCAAGATGACGAGCAGCACCCAGAGCAAAACCAGAACCAGGAGAACCCAGACGCAGAGCAGAACCAGGAGAATCTAGATGCAGGGCAGAACCAGAACCAGGAGAACAGGAACCAGAACCAGGAGAATCTAGATGCAGGGCAGAACCAGAACCAGGAGAACAGGAACCAGAACCAGGAGAATCTAGATGCAGGGCAGAACCAGAACCAGGAGAACCCAGACCCAGAGCAGAACCAAAACCATGGGAACCCAGAGCTGCAGAGCGTTGGACCTGAGGAACGTCCATCTTCATCCTGAAATCTTCCAAAACCAGCACCGGGTCAAACTTTCTGCTGGCTGACTTTGCTCTGTTTCAATGTTTTGTCTCAATAAAGTTTCACTATGAATCCAGAAGCACCAGCAGGTCAAATGTTTACATACCCATCAGCCTCTCTCTCTCTCTCTCTCTCTCTCTCTCTCTCTCTCTCTCTCTCTCTCTCTCTCTCTCTCTCTCTCTCTCTCTCTCTCTCTCTCTCTCTCTCTCTCTCTCTCTCTCTCTCTCTCTCTCTCTCTCTCTCTCTCTCTATATATATATATATATATTCTGAATGAGCCAGAATGTTGGACCCTGCTGAGCAGGTTCACCAATCAGATGTCAGGGTTATATATATATATATATATATATATATATATATATATATATATATATATATATATATATATATATATATATATATATATATATATATATATATATATATATATGAAGCGCAAAAAACAAAATAATGCAGCCGCAACGCGCCTGCGCAGCTGCACCGTGTGCTCACGGGAAGTGACGAAGCGAAAGTAAATCCCTTCAAAAAGTTCCCTCAGCTGCGGCTTCCAAGTTGTGCGAATCGTTTCACCTGAACAGGTGAGTCCGGTCTGGTGTGATGTCAGAGTTCCGAACCTGCAAGGAGCTGTTCGGCCCAAGTGGAGTCTGGACCTGAGCTCGGAACCAACCTGGTTCTGGAGCAGCAGCTCAGGCAGTTGTAGGTTCTGGTCTCTGATTGGTTCTGATTAGTTCAGCTGTCAGCTTAAACGGAACCAGGAATGAGGGGGATCTTGAGTAGTTCAGGTTCGGGTTCGTGTTTGGACCGTAACCACAGCTAACAACCGATTTCTGCTCCGGTTCTGTAGCTTCACTCCCTGGTCCCGGATGGATGAGACCTGAGGGACAGGAAGAGGAGACCACCTCACCCATCGGTCCCTGTCCCGCTGCGTCGGTCCATCATGTTGCGGCTCTCACCAGCAGAACTCTAACCCGAACCATTCAGACCGTCCAGCATGTACGGTAAGCTAGAAGGGCCATTATTCAGTAAAAAGGTCTTTATAAACTAACAAGTTAGTCAGTTTGTCTTAAATATCTAAAGTTTAATTCTGAATGAGCCAGAATGTTGGACCCTGCTGAGCAGGTTCACCAATCAGATGTCAGGGTTTATTTTCAGAAAGTGCTCTACTGCACTCCAGAACCGAAGGGGGCGCTAGTTCCCGCATGAACCTCCATCTTACGATGTTTTTTTTGTTGTTGTTTTATTTAATCTTTTGATTTGTTGAAACAATTATCAAACTCTTAACATAGTTGTTGGTTTTACTGTTAATTGTTTTCTAATTACTTTTTTATTATTGGAAAAATGATCTAATGTATGAAATAGCTCCCCTTCAGTTCTGCACAGTCTCCAACTCTCCCAGTTACAACTCGTAAGGCCCACTTTGCATTTCAATATGGCTGCTCCCAGCATCAGCAGCAGTGTTGGTTTTAGTTCCCTGCAGCAGCAGACAGACAGACTGAGGTTTTTATTGGCTCTAGTGGCCTTTATTTGACAGTGAATTGACAGGAAAGTGGTTAATGAGAGACATGTGGCAAAGGTCACCAAACTGGGAGTCAAAACAGCGATGGCTGCCTCCACACCTCAGGCCTCCTGATGTGGGTTGTGCTTAACCCCTGCACCTCCACAGCACCCCATGATGAACATTCTCTGTTCTGCAGGACCTTCAGCCATGGAACCAGAACCAGAACAGGACCTGACCATCGTCCTGCTGGGGAACACTGGCGTGGGGAAGAGCGCGTCGGGAAACACCATCCTAGGCCGCGCGGCGTTCATGTCCCGGGCGTCCTTCAGTTCCAGCAACATCCCTGTCAGAAAGGAAGCGGGTCGGGTCTTCGGGACGCCGGTCCATGTCGTGGACACGGCCGGGATCCTGGAGTTCGAGGAGCAGATCCGGTCCTGCTGCCAGGAAGTTCAGCGGACCAGCCGGGCTCACCTGTTCCTGCTGGTTCTGAAACTGGACCGCTTCACCCAGGAACAGAACCGGGCAGTCGAGGCATCCCTCAGGGCAATCGGGGAGCAGGGCTTTAACCGCTGCTTCCTGCTCTTCACCCACGGAGACGCCCTGAAGGACACCTCGTTAAGGGATGCCGCCTCGTTAAGGGACGCCGCCTCGTTAAGGGACTCCACCCTGAGGGACTTCGTGTTCAGGGACGAGCAGAGCCCGCTGCCGGAGGTGGCTCGTAGGTTCTGTGGGAGGATGCACCTGTTCAACAATGAGGACAGAGGAAGACAGCAGGTCCAGGAGCTGCTGGTCAAGGCTGGACACCTGCTGCTACCTGAAGGTAAAGAGCTGATGAGCAAATTAGCTAATAAGCTAGCAAGCTAATTAGATAAAGAGCTAACAAGTTAATTAGATAGCCAGCTAACGAGATGGTATCATGTCATATTGACTTTATATTGTGATCAAATGTTTTTCCCAGCAGTGTTGCTTTGATTCTTTCATGTTTGAGAAATACTTTAATCTCCATTGCAACCATTCAGCTCTGCAAAATGCCTGGGTGCACCTACCCCCGCCTTCGAGGCGCAGCTCCTCCCTCCCTCAGCTCCTTCAGACTAGCCAGCAGCAATTAGCAAACACCTGGTGGAACTGCTGAGGTCATTATAGGAGCTGCTGCTCAGAGCAACACTGGTAATAATAGTAAAGGGTTAATAGAGGAGCTTGGGATGACTTCCTGGAGGCGGAGCTTCAGAAAGAGCAGGACTTTCTTAAAGCGACAGATGCACAATTTCAAGGCATTAAATCAGGAAGTAAAATCTGTTATGAGGCATTTTTATAACAACTGAAGGTAAAATGGAAAACATGGTACCGGCCCTTTAATGAGACGGCAAGCGGTTTTTCTGTTTGATATTCAAAGTGGTTTATACTGGAAGGGTGTGAATACTTTTCTCCCCACTTTCTCTGGTCCTGCAGAAACGTCCAGTGATGGGGCGGACCGGGTCACGGGTCCTGATGGTCGAAATGGTTCTGCTGGTTCTGAATGTCTTGCTGGTTCCATTGCTCCGCTGAGGGACAGGAGGATTGTCCTGATTGGACCAGCTGGTTCTGGAAAGAGTTCTGCTGGGAACACTCTGCTCGGGTTCCGACGCTTTGAACCAGACTCGGACTTTGCCGGAGTGCGGTCAGACCCGGAGCGCAGTTCTGCTGAGGTGGGCCGGGTCCAGCTCACTGTAGTGGACACAGTCGGACTGCCGGAGGATGTTCTGACCCTGAAACGGCTGGTTATGGAACTCCAGGCCCGGATGTACCTGGCGGAACCGGGACCTCACGTACTGGTTCTGGTGCTGAAGATCGGCCGGCTGAGCTACGGTTCTACCCAGCTGCTCCGCTTGCTGACCCGGCTGCTGGAGCAGAACCAGAACCTGGCCCAGCATGCTGCGGTTCTGTTCACCCACAGAGACGCCCTAGGGGGGCGGAGCCTGACAGACCGGGTCCAGGCCAGCAGCTGTGTGTCAAACCTGCTGACCTGCTGCGGCGGCAGGCACACGGTTCTGGATAACACTCAGAACCGGGACCAGGTCCAGGTGGATCGGTTCCTACACCTGCTGGACCAGATGGTCCAAGAGAACTCTGGCCGGTTCTTGAGCCCAGCTGACTGGAACTTGCCACCAGATCCGGGTCAGACGTTCTGGAGCAGACTGAGAGGATCGGGTCTGCTCAGGGTTCTGTCTGTAGTCGGGTCGGTCCACATTTTGTTGGTCAATAACCAGAACTATCGGTTCTGCTGCTGACCCACAGACATGGGACCAGGCCCGGTCCTGGTTCTGGTCCAGGCTCCAGTTCTGAATACATCTGTCCAGGTTCTAAACCAGAGACAATAGTTTTTATTTTTCTGCAGAACAAAATATTTATGTTTTCTATTTTGCATTTTTTTATGATTTTATAATAAATCTTTAAAATTTCATAAATCTGGATTTGTATCATGGCGTTTTTATTCCTGAAGCTCGTTAAAAGTATTCACACCCCCTGTTGGCAGCATCTGGATAAGGGAAGCTATTGCTAAGCTAGTCTGTAGTTTCAGTGTTTCTGCCATGTTAGCTTGCAGTTCACTCCACATTTCCCAGAATCCCCGTCTACTTTCTGTTAAGTTTTCATTGCAGCAGACAAACTCATCACTTCTCTCTCTGCTACTTTCTCCTACTGCCCTCCAGTTGTTTAACCAAATTTTCAGTTTCAGAACCAGGCAGGCCCAGAAGCCTCCCTGCTGGTTCATGGCTCCACCAGCAGGGGGAGACACCCCCTACTTCCCAGCTGAAGGTTGTATGGTCCAGTCAGTTCTCACTGGGTTCACACTCCTGCACATGCCTGGTCCTGAGATCTTACCAGAATCTGACCTTGATCCAGAATCTTATCTTGATCCAGGTCCGGACCAGAATCCTCCAGGAACAGGAACAGCACCAGGTCGGTTCTGCTCTCACTTCCTGCTTGGTTCACTTTGGCTCTACTTCGAGACGGATCTGCTGTAATTCGGGTCGACAAACCCGAATCGGCGGAGGACAGATCAATCTCAGGTAGGAAGAGCTGCTACGGGGTTCTGACCCGTTCTGAGTCCGTACGGGTCAGAACCCCTATGGGTCAGAATCAGTACATGTCAGAATTTGTACATGAGCACACTCTAGGAATATAAAGTAACATTCATAGTAAAAATATTAGTATGACGGTTTATGCTGGGGTTCTGGATGGGTGTGACCTCTGACCTGTGGGCCCATTGTGGTCTCTGGTGTAGTGGGTTTCCACTCCGGGCTCTGGATTTGGGGGCGACTGGTGAACATTATTATGGAGAATCCTTATAGGCCCACACTCAGTCTCAGGTGTGTGTGTGTGTGTGTGTGTGTGTGTGTGTGTGTGTGTGTGTGTGTGTGTGTGTGTGGTTGCGGTTTGCAATAAAAGCATCAGCTGTCAGCGTGAAGCGTGTTTGTTTCACTGAGATCCTATTATTAAACCCGCCGTTAGCTGTTATAGTTTCTCTTTTTCTCTTTCTGCATGGTTAGAGGTAGGCCAAAGGTTTCACACCTTGTAACATTAAACAACTGCTGCCTTCCTGAGCAGTCAAGTCTGCTGGTTCAGATCTGCATCCAGAACCAGAACCAAACACGGAGAAGCAGCATTCAGTTTCTATGCACCACAGATCTGGAACAAACTTCCAGAAAACAGAAAAACTGACGAAACCCTGAGTAAATTTAATACCAGAAACCTGGTTAGAGTTGCTTTGATTATTGATGACTGGAACTCTGATCAATATAATCGATAATGATTCTGATGATGGCTTTGACATCATGTCTGATATGTTTGAGAATACGGTCAAAGCCAAAGGAGAGGTGGCAGCTTGGTGCTCTGCTGCATGCTTGGGGGATGTGAGTCCTGTCTGGCTGGAAGTCACGTGACCCAAACCCACTCTGACCACTGACTCGCATTTCCTCTCCACAGATCAGCAGCTGTCGCACCATGTTGCCCTGGGTGATGATCTTGATGGTGATGATGATGAAGAGAAACAGTTAGTAACCTTTCATTGTTCCCCACCAGAACCAGAACCACTTGGCTCATGCTGATGACACCTTTATTCATAAATCAGAACCAGCAGGATTTGATTAAACCACACAGGCTTGCCAATGTTCATGGTAACCATGGAAACGGTGCCTTAAATACCAGATTTGATCAAATAAACTTCATGAAATGTTAAAATCAGATGGATTTTTTTAAAACCTCAGTATCAGCTTCGCTCAGACGGTGGAAGAAAACAGCTGCTAATGCACTAAAGGCAGAGGTCATTTTTAGCTTTTAGCGCATTAGCACTTTAGCTAACTTTGAAAACATTTGGCATGCTTAGCTTCCCTTAAATTATTCTTTCCAGATTAATTCTGAAGCATAAATTCACTTGGTTGTTTGTAAACTTTCAGTCGAATAAAATTCAACATCTGTGTTGAAGTTTTGGTTTCGACTGTAAAGAATCCTTCAGGTGGTGAGGCCTGCATATTCGTCCTCTTATTTTGAAGGGGGGCGAACACTGTTTCCATTTCCTCTCCACAGGTTCTCTTTGCTTCCATGGGGCAAATCCAAAGGCTGCAATAAATGAACAAATGAAAAATACAAACGACCAGGATCTTATTTAAATACAAAAATTCACAAATCGATCTCTTTGAGGGAAGGTTGTTGTTCCTGGGCAGCAGCAGGAAGTTCATCTCTGCTGTAACTTGCGAACAAAATGTGTGAGGAAATGATTCAAAGACTTGAAAGATATTAAATCTGGTAGAAACACATGTGATTAACCTTTAATAACTGAAGGGAAATAACAGTGCCACCTGGTGGACAGGTAAGGTACTGATCCATCCCGTGTTCTCTGTGTGTGACCTCTGACCTCAGCTGCCTCTGCTGACATTACCAACGTAACTCGAAGCAGCGGCGAGAGCCTCAAGCTGTTGCCCGAGTTCAGAACTGACTTCAGAAGAAAGCGTATGGGGACCGGACTGGAATTCAGGTGGACCCACCCCAACCTGCTGCTGAACAACCAGAAAACCAAGTGTCACCACGGCCGCTGTGAGCTGCTGGAGGATGGGTCGCTGAGCTTCAGCAGAGTCCAGCCAGAGGACTCTGGAGACTACACGCTGGAGGTCTACAACCAACGGGGGGATAGGGAACACACACAGGTGTTCCACCTGCAGGTGGACCACCTGCAGGTGGAAGGTGAGTCCAGCAAACACCAACAGCCTCCATAGACAACGCACCATGTTAAGGCCAAATTTAAGATTATTGCTTATCGAATGCCAACACTAACCTATCCAATACAAACATTAGCCCATCCAATTGTAACTCCAGCCTATCTGATGCTAACTGTAGCCTATAAACACTAAAAGCCTGCCACTGCAGGTCATTAGCTTCAGAGGCCAAGCAGCCTGAGCATGGTCTCTCCAAAGCTATCGCAGCTGAGTCGTCTGGTTTCTGGTGTCGGCCTGTCATCACTCATCAGTGTCAGAATGGTGACAGCCTCCTGCTACCAGGTCGTACCTGTGACCATCCACCCGTCTCTGTGTCCTCAGAGAGCAGCCGGTCCAGGACGAATGCCACCGTCTGCTCGCTCCTCCTGCTGCTGATCCTGCTGCCCCTCCTCATCTCCTTCCTCCTGTGGAAGAGGAGGCTTTCCAGGTCCAGGACTTCAGGTGCAGCAGCCGCTCAGAGGAAGGCGGAACCAGCAGGTGTTCTCTCCAAACATAACATGTCGGCAGTCACTGACTACCTGTTCTCCAGGTGAAAGGGAGACCCAACATTACGTGGAGATGCGTGGTCACCATGGCAACAAGGACCAAGAGGAGGGGGAAAAGAAGGAAGAAGACCCTATTTATGGTAAAAACATGACCTCTGACCTATGACCTCTGTGTTGGTCTGTAGCTGAAGTTTCCCCTGTTCTCCACAGTTCCCTGCTATCCTGTAGTTCCTGCAACTGAGCCGGCTGAGAATATCTATGTCTGACGGCCAATCAGAGCCCTGCGCCGTGGGGCCGGCACTCAGCTGTGATTGGCTGAGCTGTTAAACTGTTTTCCTTCCTACCAAATAAAAAAAAAAATACACGAACCCAGACTGATGTCAGGACCTGCTGACATCTTTCTCTTCAGGTCCGGCCCGGTTCCTGTCAGACAGAACCACGTCCGTTCCAGCTTTTCCTGTTTGGTTCTGCTTCATGGACTCAGAACCAGAACTGGATAAGGAGTCTGATTATAAACCAGCTCCAGAGTCCTGAAGGTGCTGGAGGTTCTGGAGGCCGGCTCTGTGACCCAGGAGAAGGTTCTGGTGATGTTACACATCTGGACCTGCTCAGCATCAAGCGACAGAAGCCGGTGGAGCTCTGACTTCTGGGACAGGAAGTGGTTTCATAATAAATGTCATCAGAACGGTTGTCATGGTAACTTGTTAACTTGAGGATTTGACCCAGAACTCAGAGCTTCACCTGGTGGCAGAAACACATCACTGCAGGTCGAGGATCCAGAGATCTTATTCCAGTCATGATATTACATTAAAGTACTATGTATTGCAGCTACTCCTGAATAAATATGATCTTCACAAGTTACTGAAGTAACTGAGTACATGTAACTAGTTACTCTGCAGTGAAGAGGGCAGAGGGTGGGTGAATAAAACCCTTAAGGAATGAAATGACTTATTGAGGACGAAATAGAAAGCTGACAAACATTCATGAGCTCAGAAAATCCTCCAGCAGATTAAAGATGGCCGCCATGAAGACTGCAGGTCAGCAGGACGCCATCATGGTGGACATGGACTGTGTCCTCAAAGGAAGACAAATCAGGCAGATGACCTGTCCCTCAGGTGAGCCTGGTACTGAAGGAAGTCCAGAAGTTCTGGTATGAACCAGGTTCATGTACCGGGTCATTGGGAAACAGTTCTGATGTCCTCCAGTGAGCAGAACCAAAGCAGCGGTTCTGTGGGTCACGTCCTTGTTTAAGATAGCAGTGAAGACACAGAGATGCCCAGCAGAGGGCGCCACAGTAGACACAAAGCTTTAATTGTTTGATTCAGTGGGATTACATGAGATTGGATCAGAACCAACACCCAGAGGACAGAAACGGGTCATGATTTAAAAAAAAAAAGATTCTGATGATCAGGAAATATACAGGCATTAAAATCAGAGAAACTTCATCACAGCTTGGTGATCTGCTCCTCTTCATCATCCTCTCCTGCTTTGCCTTCATCCTTCCGGTCTGGAGTCTGCACACAGATTGGATCAGAACCATAAGCATCACCTTCAGCCTCACGTCCACCAGCAACAGCCAATCAGAGTTCAGGTCTGCTCAACACGCCTGGGCCACTCCTCGACACAAAGGATTCGCGTTGCTGCCATCTAGTGGTCAGACTTATGTCAGGTTATCGTGAGTCCTCACTTTCTTATACTGTGGTCCCCGGACCGTTGGGAGCCCGCGGGCGCCCCCTAGTGGTCCGCAAGGGGCTACACGTAAACGACGTGCGACGGTACAGTTAGCTTACCAAAGGACTGTGTTAAAAATAATAATGGAAAACTGGTTTTAAACCGAGTCACTCAAAAGAAAAGCTGCAGATACTGGTGGAAATTATAATATGTTTCTTTGAACGGTAGGAATCACTTGGTGATGAATGATGCTCTGCTTTCAGGTCAACAGCTACTGTCATTTTTATTTAGTTAAAAATTATTACATTGAATTAAATAAATACAATTGGTATAAACGGGTTACTGAATTTTATATGTAACGGTGCAGAAAATGATTTTTTAAAAATTATTTAATATCTGTTAAAGCAATTCAATACTTGTTTTTCTTTAATTGTGCTTCTGAACCATAAATAGCTCTAAATGTTATTCATGCACATAACACTTGGTAGTAATGAGCAACTTTTTTTATTTCTATTTGTTTGACGTCATTGTAAAGCTTAGACACTTTAAGAATCTGTAAATAACTCAAAATACCCAAGTAGACGTGTTCATGGCTTTGTCCTGGCCAGTCACTTTTACCAAACGGACCACGCTTCTCGTTAAGATGAACCAAGAAAAACAGCAGGTGAGTTAAGAGACTTTTTTTCATTTCAGGTTGCATCATATATTGGGGTTGTGTTGTTATCGCCGGCGCAATGTCAGGTTCGGTGGTCCACGACAGCTTGCTAAATGGGTTAACTGGTTCTCAACCTGATAACGTTTGAGAAACACTGGATTAAGGGCAGAGGAGGCCCTGGGGGTTACTATTAACATAGTCCCCCCAGGACATGCTGGAGGGACTATGTTCCTCGGCAGGGCTGGGAACGCTTTGGGATTCCCCCGGAGGAGCTGGAACAAGTGGCTGGGGAGAGGGAAGTCTGTACCTCCCTTCTGAAGCTGCTACCCCCATGACTCACCCACCCACACACCCAAGCAGAAGAAGATGGATGGATGGATTGATTAAAGGCTAACTTTGTATCTGTTATCTGAATTTTCAGTATAATTGTAAAGAAATTTAGCCAGTGAAGGGACATCAACAATCAAAGCAAAATTAGAGGCAGAGGTGAAAATCTGCAGTAATTTGAAAAGATTACTTTTCTTCTTACGTTTTATGTTGCGATTCTTTGACCTTTCCTGCTTTAGCACCTAGCTGGGCTCTGGCTCAGGCTGGAGCTATCGAGCTAAGCCCAGAGCCAATTGTAGTCCAGAGCCAGCCCCAGAGCTAATCCCAGAGCTAGTCCCAGAACTAATCTCAGAGCTAATCCCAGAGCTAGCCCAGAGCTAGTCCTGCTCAAAGTCGCTAACTATGTTCTGACCACAGTCAGTTCTGGTTCTGTGAAGGCACAGGAAGCTACCTGATGGCTAACAGTTAGCTTACAGATGGCTTACATTACCAGTAGCTAACAGAAGAGTATCAGACAAGTCTCAGGCGTGTTCTGTGATGTATTTCAGGTGTGTATTCTCAGGTGAGTCTCAGGCAGTGTGGCAGCAGCGCTCACCAGGAACAGCAACGTGTGGTGGATGATGAACTCCCTGGTGAGTGCAATCATGTCCTGGTTTATGACGAGGAACATGGAGGGCGCCAGAACCACGGCCAGGTTGTGGGCCGACATCTTGTTGTCCAGAGAGAACACCTGGACCCTGGACAGAGTGGGAGGAGCTAGTGAGCAGGTGGACGTCAGGCAGGTAATCATGTCAGGGTCGGCTGTCAGGGTGTTCAGTCCAAACATCACGTTCAGGGTGGCTCTGTTGTCAGGGGGTAGTTGGCGCAGCAACTGTCGGTACTCTTTGAACCTGCTGCGCTCCTCTGGAATCACTGGGAGATAGTAACTGGTTAGACTGCTAGCTGCAGGTGCAAACGCTTCACCTGTAGGGTGGGGGTGGGCGTACCTGCAGCCTTCTGCCACTGCTGCAGCTCCGCCTGCGGCACCAGGCTCAGCTGGTCCCGGATGATCTGCTTGAGGGCGGAGCCAACGTCCAGAACGCCCTGCTCATCAGCCTCCAGGGGGGCGGAGTTTGGCGACGTGGTCAGGGCCTTCACCAGCTCTTTGACCTTCAGCGCCCGGCCACAGCGCCGGTACAGACCCTCCACCTTCAGCCCTGCACACAAGTACACTCCGCCCACTCAGGTTTCCATTTAAACACCCTAACACAGTTTAGCCCAGTTTAGATCAACAGCAGTTCTGGTTCTGCTGGAGGCAACCAGGTCAGTCAGAAGGTTTTGGTACCAAACTGGTTCTGGTCCATCAGAATCAGACGTGGGTCACTGACCTGGACATAGACCCCATTGGACATAGACCCCATTGGTTCTCCTTCAGGTTCTACAGCTGGACCAGAATGTTCTATTGGATTATCCAGAACCATGATCTATCCCGGCAGCATTCTGGTCCACTTTCTATTGGCAGCTTGTGGCAACAGGAAGAAGACTCCTGACAACAGGAAGTGGACTCTTGGCCCAGACTCACCGTAGGTGGTGATGTGTGAGATGCAGCGCAGGACAGCCGGGAACACAGAACCTTTCACGGCACCGTCAGTCATCGACATCTGACTCGACCCAGCTGGGTTCTGATTGGCTGCAGGTGGCCCCTCAGAAGCTGGCTGCTGATTGGCCAGAGCTCTCTTCAGGTGCTGGAACCAGGTCTCACTGCTGAGCTGCTCCTCAAAGCGTAACGACACGGTCCTGATGGGAGAACACCTGTCCAGGCTCAGCCAATCACAACTGGGGAGGAGCTGCTCTCCGTATGAATACTTTTGGACTGGACTGAAGGTGTGAGAGAGACTCACCTTTCTGCTGTTACCAAGGTTATGGTGTCTTCATACAAAACTGAGTCTGAAAGAGGAAAGAGATCCAAACTGACTAAACATATGAAGAAACGGAAAATTAACATCAACTCAACCTGATGGGGGGACAGGTGTGTCATCTCTAGAAAGAACAGGAAGTTACCGTCAAATTAAAAAATGACTATAAACATTCATTTCCTAAAGGTGTGAATATTTAGGGGTATAAATACTTTTAGGGGGTGAATCTCTTGGCGTGAGCTCTACCTGTGGGACTGAGCGTGCTCAGTGGGAAGCTCAGGCTGCGCTGCCCGGCTCTCTCCACAGGGTGGAGGCTGACTCCTTCATCCCACAGCACCAGCCAGGCGTCAGACTGAGTGGAAGCCCCGCCCACATCCACCATGTGCACCTTGCTGACGGCTGAGGCCCCGCCCACTTCGGCGTAGGACACCCCTCCTGGTAGAATGACCTGAAGGCAGGGCAGAGGTCAGTGTGTCTGCCTCGGCCGTGGCTGCGGTGGCGACGGCGGCAGGTTTCTACCTTCAGGATGTGCATCAGGTGATCCTGCAGCGAGTCGCTGTCGTCGGCAGCACAGATCAAGTTATTGTTCAGTGTCACCATCTCAAACTGGAGCTCCGACCTGAAACAGCCACAAGGTCATGGGATCAGAATCGGAAAACCGAACGTATCAAGAGGGTCCTGAGGCTGCAGCATCTAACTCCTCAGGTCTTTTCATATTTGGACAGCCATTTTTCTTTTCAAGATGGCAGTCATTTGGAAGCCTTTTAGACCAATTGAGGCAAACAACTGCCTCATCATTTGTTTTCCACTCTGCTCATCCGGTCCATAATCTTCTTAAGTGAATCAGAAACTGAGGAGCTAGCTGTTAGCCAGCCTCCCTCCAGGCATCAACCACTAAAACATGAGGATGAAACACAGACTGAGACAGGCGTCTTTATGGTTACCGTTAGCTTGTGCTAAGTGTTTAGCTACTTATAGTCAGCTTCTGATAATTATTTTGTTTAGCAGCTTAGTGTTATCTTTTGCTAGTTTTCTATGTTTTTGGTGCTTTATGGTTAGCAGAGCTAAGATTCTTTTGTGAATTAGTGGTTGGTGAAGCTAACTTTGGTTAGCTGTGCTACTGCTGATTTTAGTGCTAATACATTCTTCTGCTAATACATTCTTCTGCTAATACAGAAATCATCAGTAAAAATAATGCTAAAAGATTAATTAATTTTACCTGAAACAGAAATTAATAAAT